AGCTCTTACTATTGGTAGCATAATGCTATGAATAAGTTGCCTTGCAAATCAGTCAATTGAAAGCAGAAAGTTTGTAAGAATCCTCACCTGTCCTGGCCTGTAGTGGAGTGGGTTCCACCCTCCTCTTTTCCCTGTTTCACAAATGTCTGTGTCCGGTGATGTGCCTAGGACTGCAGCTACAGGAACTACGAGGCCCGACAATTAAGTTTGAGAACTCATCTTAGAAATAGTGTTACATACCTCATTGCTGAATATCACTATGGTCACCTTACAAGGGCTTCCCTTGGGAAGCTATGCACTGATGCCAGCGCCTCGTCCACCCTTCCAAGCAATTTGGGAACTCTTTTTCTGGAATGGCCATCTGAGCTGTCATTGTATTACCTTTGATATCCTGAAGGTCATCAAACTATCTTCCTTTCAATATTTCCTTTATCTTCGGGTAACGAAAGAAGTTATTGGGGGTCAGATCAGGTGAGTAGGGAGGGTGTTCCAATACAGTTATTTGTTTACTGGCTCAAGTCTTCCTCGCAGACAGTGCCGTGTGAAGTGGTGCATTGTGATGGAAGAGCCATGAATTATGGTGAAAAGTTCAGACCATCTAACTTTTTCATGCAGCCTTTTCAGCACTTCCAAATAGTAAACTTGGTTAACTGTTTGTTCAGTTGGTACATATTCATAATAAATAACCCCTCTGATATCAAAAAGGTTAGCAACATTGTTGTAACAAGTTTGTGAACTTAATTGTCAGTCCTCGTATGTGTGGTGATGATTAAAAGCACTTTTATGTATTGAGCATGGTCATGAACTCTCTGTCACTGGCAGTGCTGAGGCAGGAGCTGGTGCCCAGTTTGGAGGATACTAGGGAATTCTGGCTCTGTGAGGAGGTGGGCCTGGCAGTCCCAGGGGCACCCAGTAACCCAGCTTCTGCTCTGCCCACAGGCAGCCTGATCTCTCTGCACATCTATGCCCTGCATAGGAACAGCTCAGTGTGGCCCGACGCTGAGGTACCCAATTCCTGAGCCCGGAGGTCAGATGGGTGGGAGGCTGTAGGGGTCACCCTCCCTCCAGACCTGACATGTATTGAAGCAAAGGCTGTTCCCTCAGGTCTTCGACCCTCTACGTTTTTCCCCTGAGAATGTGACTGGACGCCACCCCTTTGCCTTCATGCCCTTCTCTGCTGGGCCCAGGTAAGGAGAGGCCCAACATCTGCAGGCCCTCAAGGCAGGGGAGGTGAGGGTGGAGGATGACCTGGGCCAGGCATCATTTTGAAGAACTCTGTGTTGAAGGTATGTGCTGGGTTTGTGGTGATCCTAATGCAGGGTAGATTCCAGGGACCTTCATTTGGCCATTAGCGTATTCACATCCCTGGCAGGTGAGGTGGGTGAGTCATACCCGTAGAGGACGACCGTCTCACCCCCACCCCCCGTAAGACAGAACCACCAATGGGAATATAGTCAGTCTGGGACCCTACCATGCTACCAAGGTATATTTCTTAAGCCCAGGTTGATCAACGAATCAGCCAATTATTCATCCAAACCTTACTATTAATTTCCATTGTCCACTGAGAGCACTGGATTCCATCCCTCCGCACACCCCATAGCCTCATGCCTCCTTGTGCTGGCCACTGCAG